AATCCTAAAAAGCACATGTCCTGAGTACAGAGACCTGGGTTCATTCCCCAGTACCACCCTCCCAACAAAGGAAGAACACAGGTATGTTTATTCCTCACCGGGTTTTTACAAAAAGGAAGGTATACTACTGAGAATAGGATAATGATTGCACCTCTAAAAGAAAATAGGGGGGAAATTATACACACACAAACATGAATAGTATTTTATAGGCATTTAAAAATACTTAATTAAAATATTTCCTTCCACAATGTAAAAGTAACACCTATATAATGAATTAAATGCTAGAGCTTCTTCCAGAGATCAACATTTTCTACCTACTGGAAAAGCATTTCAAGTCAGTATTTTAACTACATTCAAAAATCAAAACTGAAAATTTCTAATCACTCAACATTTCTAATAATGAAAACAGACAATTTACAACCGATAACTTAATTGTAATATCAGTTCCACACTGATCTTGAAAAAGGACTGAATTTCAAAGCAAATTTTCCCAAAGAGACATTTTTCAAACCAGCATGCAGCACTACAAAATCTTATGACCAAGGAAAAAGAAAAAAACCACCAGAGAAATGAAACAGTCAAAGATGAAAGGGATCTTTGCTATTGAGAGTAAAAGCTAAATTTTAGTCAAGTATATTTAAAACATGTACAGGCACAGAGAGCCACCAGTGTCCACAATTAGAGGGAGGACACAATGACAGTGATCTCTTTGACAAATAAATTGCTTGAAATATTGCATGACTTGCTACACAACACCCTTATTACTTTCAATTTCCAAGTGCAACCGAAAGATGGGTCCAATTATGACATCAATACAAGCTTTCTTTCAAAATGGAATGAAAGAACAGTAAATCCCAGTGGACATGGGGGTTCTGCAGCAGAGATGATGTAATATATAAAAATAGACATCCTCGAACAGAAGCTGAGACTTGGGTAAACAGCACACTGCATACTATTCTCAACTGCCTTGCATGAATTTGCAATGCATGCTGTTAATAGCACAAAGAGAAATAATTTTATGTTTGAAACTCTTTCCAGATTCACAGATCAACTTTGATACAGATAGCTATCGTTTCCCCATCTGTATATAAATTCAATCGACATCAGTACCTGAACAGAACTGCAAGAAAGAGAACTAATCCCCCCACAGCAGGGTGACCGAGACCACTGCAGCCGTTTTCACATGCTGCACGTTGCCAGCGATTACAGTACACCTGGCAGTGTACCGACACAGTCACCTATTGTTTCAAGATCTTCCAGGGGAAGCTTTCTTCAGGATTTTAAAATGCAACATGATGTAGGTGAAGTGGAACCAGTAAACCTCCTGATGGAGAGCGTGAAAAGCAGAGAATGCTTTTGACACCTCTCTCTAAAAGGCTCTGGTGTGAATAGAAAACATCAGGCTTGCATACAATAAAGAGTATGGAGAGCAAATTTTGTATGGCTTTTCATTTATTTATTTATTTTTTTGCGAGCATGCAGCGTGCATCGCTTCTCTGACACTCACTCCACACCCTCCTTTTCATTCTTTAGTCCCAGCCCAGTTTTCACACGTTTGTTGGGTTCTCCTGGAAAAAAGTGTTTCTGGGTTAGGGCCAGGGACTGTGGCGGTTGTGGCGCTCAGTTGTAGACTGCAGGCCTTACATGGCTCAATCCTCAAATTGTAACGAAAACTCAATTTATTTAACTGGGGCTGTTGCTCAGCCGTCCAGCACTTTTCATGCATGCTTGAGGCCCTGGATTCCGTCCCCAACAACACAAAAATAAACAAATCAGAGACCATTCAAAAAGCTACGTCTGATTCTAAAGCTGCCTCTATGTGCCTTTATAATTCCAGGAATTTCCTGTACTTCAACTGCTCATTTATTAGGTCACTGAGGCAAGATTCAGTCTGTCACACAGACCTTTGTAAAAAGTAAAACAAAGTCATGATAGCTCCAGTCAAAATATCTAATATCAAATAAATGTACTTCATCATAAAAGCAGCATTAGTCATCTCAGTATTTCAACAATTTTTTTAAATTAACCAAACCAAGAAATCAACTAAAGATGAAATAAGCTTAATCATTTCTACCTCAAGAAAAAAAAATCTTCCAGAGATGTACAACATACAACCAAGGAATGGTGACATAATCATCACATGAAAAATATCTTAAATTATCATGAAAAATAACCTTACAACATGGGGCTCACTTTCATAAGCCTCCTGTAAAGCAAGCTTCATAAACTGACACATTCCCAGATAACTTAGCATTATCACGGTCTGTCTTGTTCCCATAATGTTGTAGAACACTGTATTCAGCTTAGCTTACATTAATTTTAATGTACATTTCTGTGCACCTGCATCAAGAACTTCAAACTAAGTCATCTAATTGAAAAATTGAGCATGTAAACGTTAAATGATACCTGTAGGTAGATACCCTGCAGAAAAAGACTACTAATGAAATGTGTGGCAAATAACTTTATACATGACTGCAATTTATGTCAAAAATTTTATAATGATTGAGGCTATGCATGTTTTGTGTTGTACTGTGGTCAATCCTCTGAATTAAAATGTGCATGAAGTTAAGTCAGACTTCCAGAGGCAGGTCAGAGTAGGACAGTGAGTCAATGAGACCTGCACACGGGTAGGCAGTGGGGACAGAGAAGGGTTAAAGGTGCTTGCCTTGCATGCTGCAGAACCCTGGTTTGGGCACACCAGCACAATACACGGTCTCCTGAGAACCACCAGGAGTCACTCTTGAGCACAGAAGCGGTCCCTGAGCACTACCAGGTGTGTAGAGCACTTTAATTAAACAAGACTCGCACTCCTAAGTGTGAGGAATTTTTCAAATGTCAGTAGGTATAAATATCTCTGTGTAATTAATTCTGTTCCTTCAAATTCAAAAGAGGGGTGAGACAATATTTTCACTAAGAGGATGAATAAAAAGTGTCAATATAGGTATGTGACCGTTTTCCAATCACCCAAAACAGAAAAAGGAAAAAAAAAACTCAAAAAATATCCCCTGCCTAAATCTAGTCCCTGGAGACCAGGTAAACCTTTCCAAAGTCCCAAGTCTCACAAGAGACTGACCCTAAACCTTCTATAGCCTTTGACAGGTACTTTCCCCTTTATGATCTTTACCCACATCACGTGGGTAAAGTGAAAATTAATGCCACATCTAATTTTCTGGCAGTCTTAAATACAATCTTTACTTCAGCGCAACAAAATGCAAGAAAATGCTAATTAAAGTCATCTTCAATCTTCCCTTCTCACTGCATTTTAAAATGTGGATTCTCTTTCTAAACCTCATACCCTTGCCTTGAAAAATTGTCCTGATAACATTCTACAAAGGCTATGAGTATTCATGTTTCTGAAGAAATGTTTTAATCTGCGTTTAAACTATTGCAAAACATCTAATTTTAAAAAGTGTACATAAGGTATAGAGTAATTCAGTTCACTTTTTAAATTTGGTTCTTAGTTTAAAATGGAAATTTTTTCTATTAAGAACTGTAAACTAATGAATCTTTTAATAGATATTTAATATGGACTTTTAATTGACAGCTGGAGTGATAGCACAGTGGTAGGGCATTTGCCTTGCTTCCAGCCAGCCCGGCTGAGGGGGGTTCGATTCCTCCACCCCTCTAGCCCGGCAAGCTACTGAGAATATCTTGCCGCGTGGCAAAGCCTGGCAAGCTACCCGTGACGTATTGGATATGCCAAACACAGTAACAATAAGTCTCATAACGGAGACGTTACTGGGCCCGCTCAAGCAAATCGATGAACAACGGGAGGACAGTGTTTGTTTTAATAATGTCGGAACATTTTTAAAGAATATCTTTCTCAAAGCAGGTGTAATTTTCTGAAATATATTTTATCAAATTTAAATTTTAGATTTATCATATTTCAAAATTAGCCAAAAATAGGGCAATCATGTCACTTGTGACATCTTAATTTTATTCTTCATAAACAATTTCACTTTATCTTGAAAAAAATTAATTTCTTTAAGCAAAATTATTATAATAACCAAAGATATTATATTAATGATAGATTCCTATTATTAGATTATCCATATAATTTTTCTGGGAGGTAAGACAAGCATTAACATTTAACTAATTACATTTCAGCTACATATCAGTTTTTCTTCCTTGACTCCAAGTTCCCTGCTAACCCAAAATGTGACCCGAAATTTCAAACGAATACTAAAAATAAAAACTTAGTCATAAATTGGCATGAATAAAATGAGCAAAGATATTGTGACAGGCCGCTTGATTAAATTATAGAATGAAATACAAGCATGAAATCTGGTTAAAAATAAGCGCAAATAAGAAAATATTAAGCAATTTTTATTTTTAGTTTCTTTTCAATGGTCATAATTTCACAGTGGTCTCCCAAAAAGCTTGTGCATTGGGATCACTAAAATTTAACTCTTCTATGTATAGGATTTAAAATATAAAGGGTTAAGGTGCATGCCTTGCATATAAACTACCCCAATTTGCTCCTGGCCCTACATATGGTCCCCCAAGTACTGCAATGAGTGATTCCTGCGCATAGAGCCAGGGGTGATCCCTGAATACTACTAGATCTGACCCAAAACTCATATATAAATAATATACTAATTATTTATTGTTATATATAATGCATTCCCTAAGCTGACACATAAAAAAAATGATAACCGAAATTTCAGAATCTTTACTTTTCTCTTCCTTTTTATTTGCAAAGCAGGTTAGTACAGAGAGTATGCCCCACCTGTTATTAAAATTTAGTAGGCTGCACTTTCGTTCTTTCTTTCAAAAAAGGTGGGCAATTCATCTTTAGGTTTCCATAAATAAAGCAGTCAATGCCATTCTCTAAACCACTGATACTTTCAAAGTTTTAAGTGACTTAACTAAATGAAGACGAAATACAAAAGAACAAGACCAAGCAAAACATAATAATAATATTAAACTCATTAGTTAAAATGCAAATTCACACATAAGCTTAGGTTAGTACTTAGGAGACCACACACAAATTACAATACCTGAGATTTAGTGCATTCCTTTGAGCCAAAATGAAATGAGTGCCATAAAAGAGGAAAGGAAAAGATGAAAATTATCAGACATGCTATAGTACATCTGACAAAATGAAGATAATGTTAAAATTATGTTAAGATGGCTATATGCATAATGTTCCCTATGTTCTTTTAGCCATGCACTTGAAGAGTACTTATAATCACTTGAAATAACCTGTAAAGTATGACCATGCGATTTTTTTTCTTGAAAAGTTCAGTTTTTCCCATTTTCAAACTTTGATTTATTAATTTTTTATTGAATCACTGTGAGATACACAGTTACAAAGTTGATCAGTCATACAATGATCCAACACCCGTCCATTCACCAGTGTACATTTCCCACCACCAATGGCCCGTTTTCCCTCCCGCCCATCCACACCAACAATTCAATGCTATAAAAAGTCAAATAAACTTTTTGTCCTGACTCCATCCTATTTTCATTCAAAAATGTTAAAAGTAAATTGTGACTTAAGACTAATAAAATATGTAATTTTCATCTTATACTTTTTTATCTGATCTTGTGGTACTATACATACAAAACAAGATCGTCTTTTTTCTTACACTAAAATAATATATTTAAGTAAAATAATAAATATATTTAAAAACTCTATTTTTAAAAGGGACTCAACATTTTCAGTTATGAGCATGTTGCCAATATGATCTCATTAAAATACTAGTATGTCATATTATGTTGTAATTAGTGATTAAATTTTATTTTCATTCTAAAACAGAATTTTTCCTAATAAAAGCACCACTGCCCAGTCAGAAAATATTTGAAAGACCATTTAAGAATGTTACCATGTAATTGTAAAAAAATTTTTAAAAATCAGGGTCAGAGAGCACAGCAGGTAGGGTGGTTGCTTTGCATGTGGCTGACCTACGTCAGATCCCTGGCACCCCATACTGTCCCCCAAGCCCACGAGGAGTGACCCCTGAGTGCAAAGCAAGGAGTAAACCCAGCCCGGCAAGCTACCGAGAGTATTCGATATGCCAGACACAGTAACAACAAAATCTCCAATGGAGACGTTACTGGGCCCGCTCGAGCAAATCGACGATCAACGGGAGGGCCCAAAAACAAAAATCAAAAATAGAATGAGACACATTATAAGTAATCCACACTCTCACTGGTAATCTCAGTATGGAATCTAATTTGAAAAATAATTCCAAAGTAGAATAATATTAAAAATGTTAGTACTAAGTTGAAATACTGGTCCATACAACTCTATAAATACGCACTACTATTTTTAAGCCATCTTCCATCTTCCAGGACGCTACATCAACACTAAAATACTACCTTCATCTAAAGAAAATAGTAACAAAAAACCTTTCACAGATTTTTTTTTTAAAATATCATGTCTCTCCAACAAACAAAGCTGCCTTTATGACGAGAAAATAAAAAAAAGCAACCCTTCCAAATAAGTTCAATGAAATGATTCAACTACAAAACTTGTATTAAAACAGTGCATGGACAGTAAAATGAGTAGGTGGATAACTTACAGTCAAAATTGATTTTAAGTAGTTCAATATAAAAAAACCTCATAAATAGACTATATGCAATAGAGATATTAAATATAATATAGCTCAAAAAATTACTAAAAATTGAGTACATCATTTTAAGGATATACACACTTTCCAATGCATTATTAAGGTTATTTGCAAAAGGAAAGAAAAAGAAAAACAAGTGACTGCCAATTACCTGTTTTCTCATTTTTATTTTAAGTTTTTTTTATAATAATTGCTCATTTAACAGTTTTACACATAGGATTAAACTTAAAAACTCGAGCTACCCTCTTTTAAAAAATAAGAATTCTCAAATATATTTGCAATTATCTTAAATTGGCCATCAGTGGATATAACAAATGACACTTAAGTGCACTATACAACATTCAAAAGGATCATTAAACCTATTATGAATAGTTCAGACCTTTCTATAGTAGGACTTTTATCAAATATCATTTCAAATTATTTTATTTTGTCACACTAGGAAAACTATTTTCACACAGTATTCTCACAATAGTATGAAAAGCCATGAAATACTGTGTCATTTTAATCAACTTAAATTAAAAACAGGCATTAATAATACATGATACCTCATCACTGAGGTGAGAAGGGAGGCTAAAATTATAGATTAAATTGAGAATTAAAAATATCCCTCATACAAAATTGTGTCTGCTGATCACAAAGCAGATCACTTAAGAAACAATTTTAAGAAAATAACTAAACATCGTTTTATGTTTTATTTTAATGACCTTTACAGTTATTCATATCATGTGTACCCAACAAAATCCACTTTGCCTAAGTTTATCTACTACCCAAGTAGAAAATTTACATGTCTTCTCACAGAATTCCCAACAAAATAAATGCAGAGGAAGAGTCCGTCCTAACTTACCGTGTGATAGCCTCTAGGCAGAGGTGGTTTACCAACAGGGTAAGGGTCCACAGTGTCAATGATGGTTTGTCTTTCACCTTTCTGGTTGATTTTCCGGAATCTCCTTCGAGACTGTCGATGAGAAGCTTGACGCTGAAAATATTCTTCATTTTCATCCATATAGTCCACCTGGCAAAAATACCCAAATTTTATTCCTTCATACGTAACATTCCATATTAAGATCAGACACAGAATAAAACTTACAGAAAATTCACATGTTTTCATCTTGCAAAGACATGTATAGACAAACTATCTAGTTTCTGAACTTCTCTGGAACAAATCTGCTTTGAGTAATTTTTCTTTTATGAAAAGGCATTTTCAGTTCCACTTAGGACAATATGGGTAATTCTTGAATTTCCTGAAGTTTCAAAGGGAAGGATATTTTCAGTAGTCTTTGTGCCCAATTATTAGCGAAAGATCTCACAGGACACATTATTACACATTATGAAAGCAACTGCCCCATTGTCTTAACTAAAGCTCAAAAAAATCTGATGTATATGAGTAATGAGCAAATCTGTAAAACTCCAAATCCCAAATGACTCAAAACAACATTGTGAGCAGAATAACTTTAGTAGATTAAGGGTTTCTCTTCCTACTTTCATTTTGTATATTCAGTTTCTTTTCTTATTTTTTTAATAAATAGTGCTAAATTTAAAAAAAAATTTCCTCTTTTAAACATATCGAAACTGATGAATGGATTAACAGAATCAAAGTTACATTAGGTTAATTCTCAGAATAATGAAAAAAAATTGCTTCCAATGGAGATACATTTAGATTCTGTTTTTACACTTGCAAATCTAGCATTTGTACTGTGTCAGCTAATATAAGAACATCTTGAAAAAAAAAATTTAAGAACAAATATTCTTCTAGGACCAGAAAGATAGAACAGTGGGAAAGGCACTTGCCTTGGAAATGGACAATCCAGGGTCAAACCCAGCAATGCCATATGGTCCCTGGGCAACTGCTAGGATTAATAACTGATTGTGGCCCCAACCCCTGCCACAACTGCCTGAGAACAGCTGGCTGTGGCTCAAACCCACCAAGCCCCAATCCATCTCCCAAAAGAGAAACAAAAAAATCCTTCAGAGACGTTTAAGTAGTAACACAGAAGCCAAAAGTTCTAGAAAATATCTAAAATGAGTTTTAAAACCCACTGCTGTAAAAGTCCTATCCATCTCCATTTTTCCAGTTCCAAATTATCATGCCACTATCAAACTTGAGTAAATTTTTTGAATTTCAGTACAGGTTTTCACTAGCTCTGACAGAGAAGTTTCAACATTTCTGAGTTTCTCTTATATATTCGAGGGGGAAAATCCAAAGCATCTCATAACAGACATAGCAGTCATTTTCCAAATACTCGGTTTAAAGTGAACAAACAGGTTCCCATCAATATATAGATTGCTTAACAAAGCTCTCCTTCCCAGCTGGGGTGCTGATGGCAGAGAAGGTGAATGAAGTAGCAATGGAGTAACTGCACTGGAATTTCCTCCCTTCTCATTTTAGTTTGGGAAATGATTTTTTTAATTTATTTTTTATTTAGACACCATGATTGACAAAGTTTCATTGTTGCTAAACTGCTCGGAGGTGTGGGGCGTAAAGGAGTTCGACTGATGCTTCCTGCTAGTCACGGAAGCCGGGGCACTGGTTTGCAAACATATGTTCTAATCCTGAGTCAACGCCTGGGCCCCTCACTCTGATTTTTAGAGAAGGAATACTTATCTAGCCTGTCACTCTTACACAGGAAAAAAAAAAAACATGGGCTTTTAAAAAGCATTAATAAAAACATTATGTTAATATATTTATATTAATTCGATTAAAATTGGAGGTCTTACTAGCATGTAATATAATTTCAGGGCTAGGATGAAGGAGACGTTACTGGGGCCTGCTCGAGGCAATCGACGAATAACAGGATGATTTGTGATTTTTTGTGACTAGCATGTTCAGTCAGCATACCAGTCCAATTTTCTTTTAATTAGCTGAAGGAATTACTTATTATCTTTCATTAACTGTTGCTTGAAGATATGTCTTCATACTTAGAAGAATTTCTACTAATATTTGCAACCTACTGCATTTCAAAGATTCTCCTCAAATTTCAATTGAATGTGATTACCACAATTTTGATTTACAAATGTCATGCACCCAACACTTAGGCTTGTCCATTCTAAAAATTTCTATCTTACGGGAGCTGGAGAGATGGTACAGCGGGTAAGATGCTCGCCTTGCACACACCCAACCTGGTTTAAATCCCTGGCATCCCATACAGTCCCTTGAGCACCATCAAGAGTGATTCCTGAGTACAGAGCCAGGAATAGCCCCTGAGCATTGCCATGTATGCCCAAACACCCCCCACCCTCCAAAAAACAACTTAGTATCTTTTCATTTAAGTAAACCTTATAAATAATTACAATATTTTGAGTATGAACTTAACTACACAAGAGCTGTATTACAAAATTATAAAACTATATAATCTATTTGTGAAAGTGCTCTACTTTTATACTTTCTATGTGGATTCAAAAGAATGTCACAGAAATATCCTTACCACAATCATTTCAGAGGGCTCTAAAACAATGCATTCACAGCCGCGCCTAAAGCTTCCTGCAGAACGCTTGCCAAAACTAGAATTAAAAGGAAAAATAGATTTAGAAATACAAATTGTGAATAAGTCAACCATCAGATAAAAATGAAAAAAGTACAAATTCATAATGCACACATTAAAACACTTTAATCATTACACGGAATCGAAAAGAATTTTTCAAATGGTCACATTTGAGCTTTTTTTTTTTCTGAGAAACTCAAACACACTGTTTTAAAATTAACAAAATATAAAGGAAATCAATATGAATGTGTTCTGTGAAAGGCTTTTAAAAGAATTCCCAGTTAGGTAAAGATTTAGTACATTCTACAATAAGAATGGGAACTGAGTCAATGGCAACATAAAAAGATGCAAGTATAAAATGTAAGCATACTTCTACACTTAAATTCACTAATGTTAAACCTTCACCTGAAAATGTATGCCTTTTCTAAAATCAACTTATTTTCATTTTTAAAATGAACTTATTTCAAATAAATGTTTAAAAACATATTCAACTAAGGACTCTTTCTTATCTACAATGTATATTTAAGTAGACACACTGCCTTTTAAAAGCATGATCCTCCTGAGAAGTTTGCACCATGGACCTGGGGCGGAGCATTTTCCACCCGCTCTGTTCTGTCTGCCTTTTCACCCCAGAGCAGAGTTGCTTTCAGACACAGTTCTATGCCAACTAGGAATGCGGCGAGAGCCAGTGACCCTCACCTGTGTTACAGTTCTCTGTGTTACGGTCACTCCTTATACTGGTCCCAAAGTAGACCCTTCACTCTAGGTGAACCTGTTTAGTGACCTTTTTATTTATTTATTTATTTATTTATTGCTTTTTGGGTCACACCTGGAGTTGCACAGGGGTTACTCCTGGCTCTGCACCCAGGAATCACTCCTGGTGGAGCTCAGGGGACCATTATAGGATGCTGGGAATTGAACCCGGGTCGGCCTTGGTGCAAGGCAAACACCCTACCCGCTGTGCTATCGCTCCAGCCCCATATTGACCCTTTTAATAAACCTATCTTCAAGGGGAAAATTTTTTGCTGAAGACTATTATATTGAGCACAAATGTTCTCAATTAGAGACTGTAAATTCCATGGAAATAATTCATTTTATAACCCCCTTTACAAAACATAAACATTTTATGGATTAAGAATCACACTGGTGAAGAAAAGGCGCATAAGATAAAGAAATTATGTAGGACAAAGAGTCAATATTCTAAATCTTATCACTGATGTTCTCAGAAAACTTGATCGTTCTCACATTCTAAATTCTCCCCATTTGGAAAATAAAGTTATCGGATTACATTAGGGCACCACTTAAATCCTTTATTGTTCCAAAATTCCTGTTCTTTGAAAATCTAAGAGAAACTTAGCTAATTAGATCTGCTATATGGCACGGAAATACATGTGTATGTAGTGTAAGTTTTATTATTACATTATTAGAACCTAGAGAAAATTGTAACTTTGTGACTCTTCAGCTTTATCTACTTTTATTAAATTATATAACTAGCTTCTATTAAATTATATGGATGATGGCTTTCCCTTTTCACAATTTCATGTAGTAAGAAAAAAATACTTTTAATTCATACTATGTTCATATTCACACATAACTTTATTTTTTTTATTTATTTTTTTAAATTAATTTATTTTTTTATTAGTGAAACACCATGAGGTACAGTTGCAGATTTACAAGTTGTTGTGCTTGGGTTTCAGTTATACAATGATCGAGTACCCATCCCTCCACCAGTGCCCATTCTCCACCCCCACCCATCCCAGCATCCCTCCCACCCCTCCCATCCCCCATCCCACCCTGCCTCTGTGGCAGGGCACTCCCTTTTGTTCTCTCTCTCCTTTTGGGTGCTGTGGTCTGCAGAAGAGACATTGGGTGGCAATCATGTTCTGTCTATAGACTACTTTCAGCATGCATCTCCCATCCTGGGCAGATCTTCCCAGCACCCTTTCTTTGGTGCTCCCTTCTCTATCTAAGCTGCCTTTGCCCCTACAGTCACACATAACTTTAAAAAGTCCTGTAAGGCAGAGAAAGCACAGGGGCTGAGGGGTTTGTATTGCATGGGGCCAACACTAACTCAAATCCTCAGAACCACATATGGTCCCGCCGAGCACTGTCACAAGTGATCCCGGAGCACAGTATCACGAGTAAGCCCTGAGCACCTCCAGGTGAGGCCCAACTCCCAACCCCAAATCCTGCTAGAACTGAGTTCTTAAAAATTTTAGCAACAAAAGGAATAATATTCACACAAATAAACAATATGGACATCATTCATTTTATGCCAATTTTTCTAACACCAAGGACTCCATATTTAAGAACTAATGTATAAGTCCTCTTACCAATTAGTCATTGCATCAACATAATTTTACTGTTAGGAAGATATTTGCATATTAGTTGCACTAACACTATTACTTTGAGAAGGAAAGTACTGGAAACTATTGTTTTGAGAGTAAGAATGCAGCCCCTAAAATGTGCAATGAACAGTCTTTATCCACTGACAAAATTTCCTTTGTAGTTACAGAAGATTTAAATTCTATTGACCATTGCAAAGACGTGAATCACAAGAGAAATGATACCCTCCATTAGACTGATACCAAGAATACAGCGGGCTGAGGAAGCAAAAACACATAACACATTCTAGCACAAGAAAATAAATTATAAATTACTTCATTTATGAAGGTTTTTCCCCCCAAACACAGCAGGAGCCCAAAAGAAGCAACCTCAAAAGTACTTTTGTGAAGGTCATGAACACATGTGCCAGGAATGATCAATGATAATCTCTTGTTTTCTCACAGATATGATTTACTCTAGGCACAAGCTGAGTTATGTTAAGAAAGATGGCAGGAAATGAACAAAGAGCAATAATAATTTAAAAAAAACACAGCTATTAAGTCATTAAGTCCATAAAACACTTCTGATTCTACCACCTGAATTTTTAAAACACTATCTTCTACAAAAATAAACTTTTATTATTAATTTCTACAAGTCAACTAGGGACTTTTAAAAGACAAGAAAACAGAGATGTATAAGCAATAAGATCCTCTATGAGTCATATTAAAATCAATTCTTTTAAATATTTTATGACTAAATAGAAAAGTGAAAAAAATTCTTCAAGTTTTCAGAGGAAGTATACATATTTAAGTAGTAAAATACAAATAAAACTACTAAGAATGTAATTCAAGACATGGTGTAAAGTTTTATGTGAAAGAAGAAAACCAACAATTAAGCACAACAAAACAGCCTAGGCTGAAAGTGAACAAATGTACACAGCATCTAGTGACAACCAAATAGCAGTAAGTTCTCATATTTTCTTAAAAGTCACAGTGAAATTTAAGATCTTTAAAGGCTATTGGCACAGTAAGCTGGTAATATAGTAAACAAATAATATTAAGAACACACTTTAAAATGGCATAGCCTAATAGAAATCCATGTATGATCTACAGTAGAACACTGTCTAGCGATGTTTCTAAGAGGAAAACCCAAAACTGAAAAGTTTCTGACAAACGAGGGATTTCAAAGGACTTCCTGCAGAACTACAGGCCCAAATTAAAAGAATACTTCATTTAGTCTTATTAATAGCAGCTGGAAGTTGATGCGATTTGTTTCTTTTTTCAATCATGGTTTTAAAAAACATTTAGAAGTGATAAAGACGATAATGCAGAGATCTAGAAGTACATCTGTGATTATTAAGAATTTAAAAAATTTGGTCAGACATAGATATGAGTTATTTCAAAATAATACGACATTCTTCGCAAATTTTTCTTGTTGCAACTGTCATAAACGGGCTGGAGAGCTAGTACAAAGGTTAATTAAAGTGCTTGCCTAGCATGAGTCTGTGACAGTGACACTGGTTCAAATCCCAGCCTAGGGTTCCCCAAGCATTGCAGGGCATGGTCCCTGAGTAGAGAACCAGGTCTGACCCCACAGCACTTCTGCAGGTGGCCCCCAAACAAAGAAAAATTATAGGCACAGACAGTTATAACAAAGCAATTCTTTTAAACAATGTATCGTATTTTCAGATTCATAGATTGTATTACAGATTCAATGCATTCCCTATAAAAATCCAAGAGTCAATTTTTGCAGAGATAGAAAAGTCCATAACCAATTTCATATGGAATTGCAGTGGGTACTAATTAACCAAAGGATTCACACTTCTCAATTTCAAAACTTAAAGAGCTGCAGTAATGACAACAGTGATAATGACCTAAGGATACACATACAGGCCAAAAGAATAAAACTGTGAATATGCATCTACGACCAAGTTAATAGTTTTGATTTTTCTGGGATTATGAGGGGGAGGTGGGAGAGAGGCACACCTGGAAGTACTCAGGGCTTACGTCTAGCTTTCTGCTCAGGGATCACTCCTAACAGTGCTTCAGTGTCCAAATGAAGTATCAGAATTCATGCTGGGATTCGAATCCAGGTCCAGCTGATGCAAATCAAACACCTTACCAACCGCACTATTTCCTTGGCCCCGGCCAAGCAGCTACTGCCCAAAGTGCCAAATACACCCTATAAGAGACCAACGATCTCCTCGGCAAATGTTGAAGGCAGACACTGGGACAACTCTATTTCCTAATGAAAAGAATAACACTTACTAGATGTAAAAACTAAGTCTAACTGGATCAGTGGCCTAAATTCAAGTTACAATCCTAGAAATCTTAGAAAAAAGATAAAACATTACGACCTTGAATTTGGCAATGGGTGCTTAGACATAACACTGAGAGAAGCGGTCATTAAGGTAAGTTAGACAAATGGACTTCACCAAAATTGGAAACTTCTGTACATCAGAAGACTTTATAACGAAACTGGAAAGACCATCTAGAGCAGTCTTTCTCCAGACTGAGCGATACTGCCCTCCATGGGGCAATGCAATAATTGACGGGGGTCAACTGCAGCACTGGGGGGGCGGGGGGGGGGGCGGGGGGGCGCGGTACAGTTAGGGGTGATTTCCTCTGTTCATTTAAAGAGGGTAGATTTTCAGGGGAGTGCTGAGTAATACTATTTTAAGGGGGCAATGGGTCA